ACAATACTATATTATCACCGTTAGAGGCTACATGTTCTAACTGAGACAGGCATTAGGATTTTTCAAACGTAAAGCCTGAAGTAGAACGTTGACGTAGGTGAGAGCATAGTAAGTAATTATGGCTCAATATAAAGAGAGCCAGATGCTTTAAGGTGGAACATTGAAAATTGGACGGCGCGAAAACGGAGTGTATTTATTCACAAGTTGTCTTTTTCCAAAGTTATTTTTTTTGGAGGAAAGGTTCTTAAGGTCCGTAAAACACCTGATAATAGAGAAGTCTGTTTGTAGAATAACAAAGAAAAGTGAAATATTCTATATGTTAAATTACTCCAGGTATGTGTAGCTCACCAATCAATGGTACTGGGACATCAATATTCGTCATATTTTCCTCCTGAATTCTGTCAGACAGGGAAATTTCTTCGCTTGCGGAATAAACTCCCTTAGTCTTATGATCACCAACTACGAATGAGCATACATCCTGGTTTGACTCCACAGAAGCAAATGCCGGCTCACTAACCTCACTTTCACCTCCTTCAGAGCTAATGGTAAGTAAGGGACCATTCGTCAAGCGCTGGCGGCTTTTAACATGCTTCTGAGCCTGCGTCTGCCCTGGCAATATCCTTATCGGCCCACTTATTATCGGAACGGCAGGCGAGAAATCATCAGCCTCTTGCAGCTGCGTGAGCACATCATGGAAGAGGTATTCGCAGAGGCAGTGAATCGGAAGCAGATCAAGGTCTGAGCCACTCGATTCAATAAGATGAATGAGCCAGGGTTGTGCCACACGATGATCTTAAGTAAAAATGTATTCGATTGCGAGTGAATATGTTATCACGTGTAAATTAGTGAGAAAGATGGAATGCAAAAAAAAGAATATAAACCATAATAACATAATAAAAACGCAAAAGTTCGAATCACTTTGATAAATATATCACTGCAAGAGGATACATTAATTAGGCTCAATTTCTCAACTTTATTAGGATGGATAAGCTGGTAAAGTGTTGTTATTTTCTTTTAAACATATGAATATACCACTATAAATATTGATAGCGGTTTCCGAGTTATTCTTTAGGAGAAAAAACATATTAATTTTGTGGGCTTTTCTCACTCCCTATCTCCTTACATAGTCCATATTTTTTCGTATGCTTCCTATGACTTTTATACTTCTTAGTAAGATTTGTATCAGATATTAAACATCGAGAGACGTTTGAATAAATATATATTTAGTTCTTCATCACCTTTTGTGACTTGGGCTGATTGTAAGTAAGGATTGTTTCTGAAAATGATTACCTTAGGAATAATCTTGATTGTCTCATTGTAATGATACACGTCAAAATCCAGAAAGCCGCCCATCCTCCTCACGTATATAATGAATTTGATCATTAAATCAAATCAATTAACAAACCTAAAGAATTCCTCTACATTTGCTGCTTAATGATACCAAAGTAAAAATTAATCATCCAGGAAATGCATAGGTCATGGCATGTATGCTTGCCAAAATAAGTGAGAGTAAATAGCTTATGGTAGTCCAAATGTTTTGGAATTAGGTAGGTTTCGAAGCTACCAATAGGGCTAAAATAAGCTCTTATTCCAAATATTTGTTCGAGTAAAAATTACTGTAAAACTAAAAGCATCGATCGTAAAATTTAATTCAATTAGTTTTGTAAAAGAACCCCTCTAGAAGTACTCAGTTTCTAGGTTATCCTCTTATCCTTCCTAGCGCTCCATCAGGGCTGTGGGCGCTGTTTATCCTGTAGTTTCTATAAACATGGATCCTTTTGTTGCGTATATTAAGTGATTTAGGGGCTACTCATGATTTAGCGTCCTCTCTTAGTAATGAATTTAT